CAACATAGCCCACGCAGGCGGAATATTCAAACAAGTCAAAAAATAGTCCGGGCTCATGTTCCTCCTGCCAGTGCTGTGGGTTTTCGATCCCCCTGTCGTTGTGCGGGGCCTCCTTGTATTGACGGTCGTTGAGACCATGTGGGGATGCACGCACAGGGCCAGTGTCTGTCACCCTCGCCTCGCCACCGTCCTCATCCCTCTCCATCTTTCTCCCCCCCTCCTGGCTGCCGCTGTGCTCTCTTGCCTTTGCCTCCCATCATTTTCTCGTTCAGGCAACTCTTGACGTGGATATACCAAAATCGGGGCCGACCGGCCGCTCTCCGAGATTGGACCCGGCATCTCTGCAACGGCCGTCTGTGGCGGAACAATTCGTCGGCTCATTTGTCGAGGCGGCAGCGGCGGGGCCTGCCCCGCCAGGCGTCGACGACCATGCACAACACGTTGTTCGATGTCTGGAATCAGCAGCAGTACAGTGTCTGGACGGCCGGCAGGCGCAAGCAAAGAGGCCTTGGATCCGCAGGGGGACGCTGGACCTGATTGAGCTGCGAAACCATGCCCGGACATCGCGCCAGTTCACTTTAGAACAAGAGCTCAGCCGCCAGGTTCGACAGTCTGCCCGAAAAGACAGAGCGGCCTGGTTGGATGACATGCTTGCAGACGGGAGCTGGGAGAGCATCCGGCGATTCAAAAAGAGAGGGGTGAAGCCCCAAGGAAGACTGAGAGACGTCAAGGGCGACTTGGTGGACAGCACGCACAGAGCGGAGACCATGGCAACTTACCTCGCAGATGCGCAGTGGTCCCACCCCCTCCTTCGCGGCCCATCCCACTTGGACAGAGGTCTGCGCGGGATCTTGACTTGCCGGCAGAGGATTTCACTGCAGTCGAGCTGCGCAAGGTGCTCGGCGACCTCCGAGCAGGGAAAACAGCTGGACCAGACGACATCCCGCCCGACTTCTGGAAAGTTCTACGCGGAAGTGATGATGCTTGCTCCGTTCTCTTGGAATTGCTCAACCACTGCTGGCGGCAGAAACAGATACCGCAGACGTGGCGGCACAGCCGGGTCAGCTCAATCTACAAGAAAGGAGACGAATCTCTGCCGGCTAATTACCGGCCCATCTCGCTGTTGACGGTGAGCTACAAGATCCTGGCCGCGCTTCTGCTGGCCAGAATTGCTGATGGTGGCGCCGAGGAGCGCCTTCGGCCGAGCCAATTTGGCTTCCGAAAGAAACGGAGCGCCAGGGATGCCGTCTTCATCATGCACAGGTACATCGAGCAAGCGTGGGCCGGAAAAGACAGCAAACTTTCTGCCGTTTTGCTAGATTGGTCCAAGGCGTTCGACCGGGTGGACCCCTCCGCGCTGTTGGTAGCCCTTGACCGTTTTGGCCTAACTGACCCATACATCAAGATGATCGCTGCCAAATACGACGGCCGCACGTTCGAGGTGAAGGACGAGAATGGCTGCAGCAGCCGGCATGCGCAGTGCTCCGGCATCGCGCAGGGATGTCCCTTGAGCCCGTATTTGTTCATCATTATGCTGAGCGTACTGATGGGGGATGTCGAGCAAGACGTTATCTCGCAGTTTGGACGCTCGAGCGGTGATGCTTTCAGCGCCGACGTGGCCTACGCTGACGACACGGCGCTGGTGTCGAATGACGTCGCAAGGTTGCAGTTCTCCTTGGACAAGCTGATCTTCAGAGCTCGCATGTACGGACTGGAGCCCAACTGGGACAAGACCGTGCACATGCGCATCCGGCACAACGAGGACATCCACACGCCGCAGGGCATGCCGCTCAAGACGGTCACCTCGACGGTCTACCTAGGCAGCCTCCTCAGGGCAGACAGGAAAACAGGGGCATCCGTTGCCCGACGCGTAGGTGAAGCCCGCGCGTCTTTCGATGCGCTGCAAGCCGTTTGGAAGCATGCCAACATAAGTAGGGCAAGAAAGGTTCATCTGTTTAGGGCGTGCGTTGTGTCTAAATTCGCAGCCTCGAAACACTCTGTCTGCACACGTCAGACAGGGTAAAAATCGACGCTTTTCAAGCTCAGTGTCTGCGTAAGATTTTTAACATTGCACATTCGATGATTTCCCATATTAGCAACGCAGAGGTCCGGTGCAGGGCAACCAGGAATGTTTAAGCCAGCTTTTGCTTGCCAGGCAATTGTTTTACCATGGAGAGCTGTCCGCCCTGCCCAACGAATCGCTGACTCGACAGAGTGTCTTCCAGAGCGGGAATTCCCGTATCCTCGACCCTGGGAAACGCCGCAGGGGGCGTCCAAGGTTACAGTGGGCTCCGATAGTGCACGCGCACGCGGTGACAATAGCAACGCGCATGCACGGCGGGGCCTTGAGTCAGGAGGGGGCCGTCCGACAAACGATCGGGCAGAGCAGTTTCAATCAACGCGCGTGGAAAGAAGCAGTGTTGAAGTACTGTTGAAATTGACACGAGTGTTATCACATGTTTTAGGGTATGCTGCATACTACTCTGAATTTTTACCCCGGTTTCCCCCCGCCCGCCTGCCCTCCAGGTGGTGTCGTCGTCCCCTCTTCCGCCGTCCTGCGTCGCTCCTCTGCCTGCTCTCTCCCCCCTGCTCGTCCCTCGGGCGGTCGCCCGGGCTTCGCCCTCCTCTCCTCTTTCCGGCGTCGTGTCGCTCGCTCTCTTCCTTCCCCCGGCTCCGGGTTCGTCCTGGCCCCCGGGTGTCGTTCCCTCCTCTGCCTCCTGCTGCCGCTGCTCTCCCGGGTCGTCCACCGAGTGGGGTTTTTGGCGGGTCGGGCACGGAAGCGTAGATCTTTAGAGAGTCCCTGCGCATGGAGCCGGAGCCGGCGACGATGGCTATGCTGTGCTTCTCGCATTGTCGACGCCATCGTACTGCTGTATACACTCATGCATGCGATCTGCAACCAATGTGCCGTCTAGGCACGGTTCACTTGACTTGGCCGATTGGGCCACGGGGTTCCCGCCCGCAACGCATTGGTCTCGTTCCCTGGCCCGCGTCCTTCGCTTTGCTCCGCCCTCCTGTTTCGCGCAGACGACGCGCTTCGAGAGGCAACCAAAGGCATCGGGCGTGCTTCATTCTGTCGCGGGGGGGGGCAGGGTGTAGCGGTGGCAGTGCGTGTCCTTTCACTGTGCCGGTTCAGACGTGATGACATGGTTGGGGCTGTGCCCTGTGCTTCAGGAAAAGAACGCGACAGCTTCAAAGATGGAGGAAGCTGGTCTTTGGAGTTTGAGCTCTCGCCTTAGTGCCGCGCACGTTCGTTTCGCTGTAATATTGCAGCAGTATCGATGGTTGAGCACAGGTCGTTTGCAAAATGGGCCTGTCGTTTTAGCGCCGCGACCAGTATTGATTGAAAGTGCGCTTGAGGGGTTTTTGTTCAACATAGCTCTATCTGGAGATTTCGCCCGTTAAAAATTCTTAAGCGTCAACACGCGTAACGCGACACGGATCCAAAACGGGTTTTTTGTTTGCGAAATGGGGACGTCGTGTCTTCGGAGCCCATGGGCACAAGTGAGCGACGCAGATGAACATATTCGTCTTCAACGACATTGGTGCGTAAGTTGCCCGCGCAAGGTCGCGCGCAAGCGCCCTCCTCTCCAATGCGGCGCGCCGCGCCAGCAGCCCGCGTAAGCCACCGCGTAAGGTGGTTAAGCCATCTCGCGTGAGACCCCCTCCGTTTTCATCGCTCCAGCGTAGACTTGCACAACACTCACACGGATGAGGGTGGGGGTGCGGTCTTCTTTCGAAGGGAGCGAGTTCACTAGAGACATTTCGTAGAGATGTGTGGTCGTGGCCTGACGCGTTCCTGCTTACGCACCAGGCAGATGCGAGGCAGTCCCTTTCAAAGTGGGGCCTCGCAAACATGGCAGGCCCAACTGCGCTGGTCTGTCAGGGGGGGAGGGCGCTTCTTGTAGTGAGAAAGATTGCTTGTAGTGTGCAGGATCGCATGAAGATTGTGACTTGGGCCAGGATGGTGTCTTGCGGCATCGCTGACGCATCGTTGGTTTACTCAGATCCTCCTCCTCATCCTCCTCCTCCTCCTCCTCTTTCTCCTCCTCCTCCTCCTCCTCTTCCTCCTCCTCCTCCTCCTCCTCCTCCTCCTCCTCCTCCTCCTCCTCCTCCTCCTCCTCCTCCTCCTCCTCCTCCTCCTTCTCGTCATCTCATCATCCTCTTCTCCCCATCGCCCCCTCCTCCCTGAACAGTGGGAAACCGACCCCCGCCCCCACAACTATGGATTTTACATGTCAGCGTTTTGCATTTACGGCGAATGAGCGTAAGTGTAGGCGCCCTGTCGGCGAGACCATTGCCAGCTGCCGCAGGGGGGCCCCGCGCGCGCGGCGACGTCCTGGGCCCGCTCGACGCGGCCGCGCCCGCGCCGGCATTCCCAGGGCGGCGCGTGCCACGGCCGCGGCTCGCAGTTTGAGGCGACGGCGGCGTTGTCCCTCGCGCGGCAGCTCCGCTGGCCCAGCCGAGGGCTCCCGCGCCCGCCTCCATCGCCCAGCCCTGACCCCGCCGGCAGAAAAGTTTAAATCGGAAGCGCGTCTCTTAACGCATCTGGTCCAATATCACTTTTGGGGGGCGTTTAAATAAACACGATTTCTGTTCATATCAACTTTTCGGGGCTCTCCCGCCGCGAGGGCTTCTGCTTCGGAGAAGTTTAGTTTGATGTGTATGGTATGTGTATAAACTTCGTTTCGCCTCGTGCCTAAACTTTGTTTTTGGGGTGAATCTAAACTTTTCGATGCACGCCCGCGCGGGGCGGGCCCCGGGCGCAGCGGGGGGGTCGTGCCAGCGCCGCCAAGGGCCGACGCGCCCGCTGGGTTTTGCCCTGGCACGAGCGCGCAAATGTCCACAATGATTTGGGGCATGGACCGCGTGCCAGCACAAGGAAACGCCAACTTCAAACGCCAATGAGCATGGCAGCAGCGCGCTGCTCGCATTGAATATCGCGGCGTTGTCGTTGGCTGGCCGTCGAGCAGTTTCCGCTCTCAGTGCGCGCGTCGTTTGACGGTCCCATTGGTCTAGAAGTTATTCGTGTGGGGGGCGGGGGGCGTGTTTCATGTGTTCACTCCCCATCATCATTGTCCTTCCTCCCTTTCCTGAGGAAGCGGACGCCGAAGCCAGAGGGGGGGGCCAGAGGGGCCCAGCAGCCCGCGCCCCAGAAGCCGGGCGGCCCCGGCGTTGGCGGGACCCGCGGATCCACCAGATGTGGGGGTTGGTAGAAAGCGCCGTGACCAAGCTCGACGAAGGACCTTCTTCTTCGTCGTCCTGCTCCCTCCTTCCTCTCACCCCTCCCCTCCCCCTCCTCCCCTTCCCCATCGTCCTCCTCCCTCCCCCTCCTCCTCCATTCCTTTTTCTTCTAAATGCCGCCTCCTTGAAGCACCCCCCTGCGCGTCAGTAGGGCGGGCCGTCCCGACGATCCTGAAGCTTAAGGGTTGGAAGAGTTTCGCAGATGGAAAGCGGTTCGTTTTCAAAATAGAGTTTTCGCCTTAACGTTCACTCGCGTTCAACAGTTGCAGAGGTCTCAAGGATGAGAGGCGGATCCTTTTCCACATGTGACATTCGCCTATGCGCCGAGCGCGATCGCCCCCAAAAAATTGCAACCGTTTCAAGGAAGGAAAGCGGGCCGTTTTCTGCCGCGCACAACTGTTCCCAACCATTTTGTAGTGTTGGGTTCTCGTTTTGAAGAGACAGCGCACCGCGTATCCTCCCTTCCTCTCCCTGCCCTCTCCTCCCCATCCTCCCATCCCTGCCTCCGCCCTCCGCCCCATTCAGCAATTTTGCCGCACCCCTCACACGCTTCGTAACCGAACAGGGAGCTCCACCGAAGGCCCCAGTGGCTGCGCTCGCATGGCAGCACCGCGCCCATTGCGGCACACCCCTGTCAGGCTTCGTGGCCCCCATAAGGGGGCTCCACCGAGGGCCCCAGAGACTGCATTCGCATGGCGCCGCCGCGCCCGCGTCGGCAGCCCATTCACACGCTTCGTGGCCCCATAGGGAGCTCCACCAGTGGCTGCGCTCGCATGTCGCCACCGCATCCATGTTGGCACACCCCTCACACGCTTCGTGGCCCCATAGGGAACTCCACCGAGGGCCGAAGTGGCTGCGCTCGCATGGCACCACCACGCCCAGTTCGGCAAACCCCTGGCTGCGTCCGCATGGCACCACCGCACCCATGTCGGCACACCACGCGCATGTTTCATGGGCCCATATCGGGGCTCCACCGAGGGCCCCAGTGGCTGCGTTCGCAGAGCGCTACCGCACCCATGTCGGCACACCCCTCACCCCATAGGGAGCTCCGCCGAGGGCCCCAGTGTGGTTGCGCTCGCATGGCACCACCGCGCCCATGTCGGCAAACCTCTCACAGGCTTCGTGGCCCCATAGGGAGCTCAACCGAAGGCCGCAGTGGCTGTGCTCGCGTGGCACCACCGTGCCGATTTCGGCACACACATCCCACACTTCGTGGCCCCATACGGAGCTCCACCGAGGGCCCCAGTGGCTGCGCTCGCATGGCACCACAGCGCCCATTGCGACACACCACTCACGCGTTTCGTTGCCCCATAGGGAGCTCCACCGAAGGCTGCAGTGGCTGTGCTCGCGTGGCACCACCGCACCCATGCCGGCACACCTTCACAGGTTTCGTGGCCCCATTGGGAGCTCAACCGAAGGCCCCAGTGGTTGCGCTCGCATGGCGCTACCGCGAGCATGTCGGCACACCACTCATGCGCTCCGTGGCCCCACAGGGAGCTCCACCGAAGGCCTCAGTGGCTGCGCTCGCTTAGCACCACCGCACCTATTTCGGCACACCTTCACAGGTTTCGTGGCCCCATGGGGATTCCAACCGACGGCCGCAGTGGCTGCGCTCGCATGGCGCTACCGCAATCATTTCGGCACACCCTGACACGCGTTCGCATGCGCCCATCGCGTCCGTTCCAGCACAACACTCACACGTTTCGTGGCACCAGCGGGAGCTCCACCGGAAACGAAACTCACAGTTGGGCGATTCACTATTGCATACGGTTGGGTTTTTCGTCCGCTTATTTAACAAAAAAGGTTGTAACAGTTTCAAGGGTCGAGGGCGGGTCGTCTCCAGAATGGAAGGGTCGTTCGCCTTAGCGCCGCGTTCTTTCGCCTGAACAGCTTGCAACACCCGCAAGGATGGAGGGCAGCTCCTTATCCGAATGTGGTTCTCGCATCCTCGCAACGCGCACTCGTTATAAACCTTCAGACCAGCTTCAAGGTTTCGCACGGTTGAAGTCACATGAACAGCTTTCTGGAACCGTTTAGGATTGTCAGGACGCAACGGCTTCGTGTCGTGGTTTCTAGGTGCTGAAGTTCCGGGAGTGGCGTTATGCCACGGTTTAGGATTGTTCAAACACAACCGTCACGTTGATCCGCGGCGTTGAAGTTCCAGGAATCGTATTTGGCAGGATTGAGGTTACTCAGGCGGTTGTCTTGCAACCTGGCATTTCCCGCAATGTAAACACAGTCTTGTTGGGACCTCTGAAGAGGGAGCTTGGAGGGAGGGTGTCTTGCAACATCGTTGGTGCGTTTTGGGTCTACTCTGGTCACCCTTCTCCTCCTTCTCCTCCTCCTTTTCCTTCTCCTGACCTTCGTCCCGGTCGTCCTCGCCATCCTCAATCTTATCCCTCCTCCCCCTCAACCTTTTGCCCCCCTCCTATGCATAGCTGTTCCCCCTGGTTGTTGTCCTCCTCGTTCTCCTCTCTCATAGTGTTGGCGCCCTCTCTGTCAACAGCTTGTATGATCCCCAGCGAGCTTCGGGTTGAGAGCAGGTGCGAGGTTGGCTTCTCCGCTCCCCTGGGCAGTACTTCCTCAGATCCATCTCCTCCCCCCTCTCCAGGAGAAGGTGTGGGGGGGCCCTAAGCCCCCCTCCTCCCCCTTCCGCTGCCTCCTGCTGCTGTTGTCTCCCCCATGCGTTCCAGACGCCGCCTGTCAGAGTGCAGGCAGCGCCGCACCACGTGGTTTGGGTCTGCCCCGAAGGCTACCATCAAAGGAGCGGCACGCCTCGGCGTGCGCTGACCTCCTGGATGGCACTGGGGTGGTGTACCCCAGCCCACGGGAGGGCGGATCCACGTTGGGGGGGGGAGGGGCTGGTTGCATCCTTGCAGCCTCAACGTGCACGCCTCCTTGAAGTGCTGGTTCTGTGGAAGGTGTGGGGCCACTGCCGACAAACAAGTTCAGCATGTGGGCGCCCCCCTGCACCTGTAAGCTTTTTCCCCTACACGTAAGACGTACCTGGGCAGGATTCGTATCGGTTTAGCCCCGAAAGTCCCCAGCAAATGCAAGAATGCCCAGTGAGGCCGTGGTTAGTTCACCATGTATTGACATCGCCATCGGTTCCTATTCCAACTCCTACTCCACGTCGCGTTCCTTCTGCTTACCGCCGCACGCGGGAATCAGTGAGGCCCCGCCGCGGTGCTCGCAAGGCTGAAGCGTGAATGTTGCTCCGGTCTCCTCGTCCTCTTCGTGTCCCCCCCTCGTCGTGAGGTTCCCCACTCCTTTTCATCTTCCTCCCCGTTCTCCTCCTCCCCCCCCTGCCCGCACCTCCCACCCCTCTGCCTTCTCGATTCTCCACGCGTTCGCCTCACCTATGCTCGGCGTCCTCTATCTTTGTCCTCACCCTGCATCTTCCTCTGTAGCCTTTCTCCTCCCCCCAACCCCCTCTTCACCTGCCCTCCTCCTTCCCCCCTTCCCTCTAGTGCGAGAAAGCGGGGGGGAGGGGGAGGGGAAGAGGAAACGGCGGTGCGGCGGGTGGTCGCGGACGGGCGAGGAGGAAGGGGGGAAGGAGCGGGGGGAAGGGGGAGAGGGACGAATGGGGACAAGAAGGGGGACGCAGGGGAGGAATGAAGAGGAGGAGGAGGAAGACGAGGGGGAAGAGGAGGGGGGAGGGGAGGGGACGGGGAAGGGGAAGAGGAGGGAGACGAGGAAGGGGAAGAGGAGGGGGAAGAGGGGGAGAGGAGGGGGGCAAAGGAGGGGGAGAGGAAGGCAAAGAGGAAGGATAAGGGGAAGAAGGAAGGGGAGAAGGAATAGCAGGAGGAGAGGAAGGGGAAGAGGAAGGCGAAGAGTGGAAGGGAATATCGGACGGGGGAGGAGGGGGGACGAGATCGGGAGGTTCCGTCTCGGGTGCTCCCTGGGCCCCGCCCCCCCCCTCCACACAGGAATCGACGCGGCGGAGGCTAGCATGGAGCACGTGCTCGCGCAGGTCGCCGACGGGGTCGACGACCTCAGGGACGGGGTGGTCGACGCGCTGGGACTCGACGAGAAGTTCAAGAGCGTGTCGGACAACACCTTGGACGAAGTGGCGCCCAAGGCACACCTTCCAGACGCGAAGACGTCCATGCGGGCACACGAGCGATGCAGAATAACGGCGCCGACGGATTTCGCGGGCATTGGTTCGTGCGCTCCCCGCGCAAGGCCACGCGTTAGCGCCCTCTTCTCGACGCGGTGTGCCACACTGACGGTATGTGCTCTTGCGTAGGACCGGTTTCTTTTTCGCTCACGTGAATGCTCGTTGGTTTCGAGAGCGTGTTGGCTGGCCGCGTGGATTGGGGGGCCGTGTTCATGCACATGGCGACCAAGAGAGGCCGAAGGGCGCCCCAAGACTGCCCTGAACGTTTTCAAAACAGCCCGGGAGGGCCTCAAGCGGTCCAAGGTGGGCCCAACATAGCACCCAGCAGCCCAAAGAGACCCCGAGAGGGCCCAGAGGGGCCCAAGATGGTCTCAAAGGGCCCAGTCGCTGCTCAGGAT